CCCCTCGTAAGAAAATAATGCTGGCTGGCGCCCGCACCTCCCAGTCGCTCCCAGTCCTCTTGGAGGAAAGGGCACCCGCTGCGTCTCGATGCCGGGACCCCTGCCGAGCCTCCCTCGCTGCCACCTCGCCCGGAGAGCCGCTGCGCTCCGCTTAGACGCTTAGACAGAAGCTGCAAGCACCGCGCCCGGGCACTGCCAGCTTCGGAGAGGCGCCGCCCGCAAGGACACCTCTCCGTCTCGCCTCGTCCGCAACTCCCCGGCCCTCGGAGAGCTCGTCTGGAACCAGGAGTCCAGACGTCGCTGCGCGCAGAGCGTCCCCGCTGCCCCAGCTCCGACCCAACTCCATCTGGGACCTGAGACTCTAGACGCCGGATTCTCAGTTACTTGTCACCTCGGGGCTGCGCCTGTCCTCCCAGCTAGCCTTCTCGTTGTCCTCCACCGCTCAGGACGGGGGTGCCAAGATGCCCCGCTGCTGCGCAGGGCCCCGGGCCGCCCCCGACGTGTGACCCCAGCCTGGTCCCCCTGCTCGGCCGTCCGCCCTCTCCTTGGAGACCCCCGGCCCGGCCCCCGGGGGAAGAGGAAGAAGACGACGAGGCCGAGGGGGGGATGTCCGGCTCCAAAAGCGTGAGCCCCCCGGGCTACGCGGCGCAGACAGCGACGCCGGCACCCCGGGGAGGCCCCGAGCATCGCTCCGCGTGGGGAGAAGCCGATTCCCGCGCCAATGGCTACCCCCACGCCCCGGGGGGTTCGGCCCGCGGCTCCACCAAGAAACCCGGGGGGGCGGTGACCCCGCAGCAGCAGCAGCGCCTGGCCAGCCGCTGGCGCGACGACGATGACGAGCCTCCGCTGAGTGGCGACGACCCCCTGGCCGGGGGCTTCGGCTTCAGCTTCCGTTCCAAGTCGGCTTGGCAGGAGCGCGGCGGCGACGACTGCGGTCGCGGCAGCCGGCGACAGCGAAGGGGTGCGGCTGGAGGGGGCAGCACACGGGCGCCCCCTGCGGGTGGCGGCGGCAGCTCCGCGGCCGCGGCGGCTGCAGCGGGTGGGACAGAAGTGCGTCCACGATCTGTGGAGCTGGGCCTGGAGGAGCGGCGGGGCAAGGGCCGCACAGCCGACGAACTGGAGCCGGGTGCCGTCGAGGACGGCGAAGGGTCCGGGGATGGCGGCAGCTCCGTGGGGTCAGGTTCTGGGCCCGGCGCGGTGCTGTCGTTGGGCGCCTGCTGCATGGCCTTGCTGCAGATATTCCGCTCTAAGAAGTTCCCGTCGGACAAACTGGAGCGGCTGTACCAGCGCTACTTCTTCCGCCTGAACCAGAGCAGCCTCACCATGCTCATGGCCGTGCTGGTACTCGTGTGCCTGGTCATGCTGGCTTTCCACGCAGCGCGGCCCCCGCTCCAGCTACCCTACCTGGCCGTGCTGGCGGTCGCCGTGGGCGTGATCCTCGTCATGGCCGTGCTCTGCAACCGTGCAGCCTTCCACCAGGACCACATGGGCCTGGCCTGCTATGCGCTCATCGCAGTGGTGCTGGCCGTCCAGGTGGTAGGCCTGTTGCTGCCACAGCCACGCAGCGCCTCTGAGGGCATATGGTGGACCGTGTTCTTCATCTATACCATCTATACACTGCTGCCTGTGCGCATGCGGGCCGCCGTGCTCAGCGGGGTGCTCCTGTCTGCCCTCCACCTGGCCATCGCTCTGCGCACCAACGCCCAGGACCAGTTCCTGCTAAAGCAGGTAGGGGCCCACCTGGCCACAGGGACTGGATTGGGGATGGGCAGGCACTGGCCTGATTCTAGAGAAAAGGGATCCAACCTATACCAATTAAAGTGGTAAAAGTAGCCATAGGGACATGGTTTCTTGCCCTTCCCTGCAGCTTCCAGGCCCAGCTTTTTTAATCTAGGAAAGTGTTCTCTTGTATTATTTGTAATGTTCTTGGCCTGGTAGAAGACGTGCTTCAAACTAAGCATAATTGCCAATTCAGGTGAGAAAGGCAGGTTTGAAAAAATTGCACAGAGAGTCCCTATCTCTTCCAGAGCTTCTGATCCTGTATACAAAAGGCTCCTTATAAAAGTGACTGGACCCCTTTAGCAGCCAACCACTTGAGGACCATGGTGGGTTTGTTAGGTGGTCCTGAATATAGGGTTGTGGAGAAGAGACCCTGAGTACCCCTTTCCCAAACTTAAGGAGGATACTATAGTTCTACTACATGAAGCTGGGCTGTTGGGAGCTAGAGATACTCTTGAAGGAGGACTGACAAGTTTGTCCCTTCCCAAAGAGCCTCAAGACAAAAAGCTGCCTTTAGCAGAGGTGGGAAAGTGCTGCTGAGATGTGGGAGATGGCAGTCTCTTCTCAGCTTGAACAGACAGCTGGTGCTGAACATCATAGTCCCTTCTAGTGGGCACTCCTGGTTATTACTGTGGTGGGGGCTTGTCAGGGGAAATCTAGAATTGTGGACTCAGAAGGGCATAAAACTGCTTGGTTAACTGGTGACTCAGGCTTGCTTGCTGTTCTGACCTCAGGGTGAGACAGCCCCTCAGACATCCACACCCTGTTCTCTGTCCCAGTCTATGAGCCCTGCTGGGCCTGCTTATTTGCATGTTGCTCCACTGGAAAGTCAAGTGGGGTCTTGCAGCAGGCAAGTGTCATAACCCAGGACCCCACTGCACCCCCCTACAGTACTCTTCACAGCATCCTGTTGTCTTTGCTTCCCTCTTCCCTACTTCTGCCTTCTTCCCCAGACTTTGATTCTCTTGAGTGCCCATCATTCTTGGGGCACTCACTTGTGTGGTCCGGATGTATCCTCTCCCATAGGGAAGAGCACTGATAATGAGCTCTGGCTGAGCCCACAGAGTGGGTTGGAAGGGAGGAACATGTAACCTCTCTGGGCCCCAGGTTCCTCTTCTAAAGAATGAGAGGGTTGACTGTACCCTTTCATCTGTGCTGAGCTATACCTCCTACAAGAATCTTCTCTCATGGCCACACTGGGCTTTCTCCCTTCTGCATGGTTAATGGTGGAGCCAGAGCCATTGTTGGAGCACTTGTTTATTCTCTGGCACTCATTTTTACTACCTGTCTAGTGTAAACTCCTTGAGGTCTTGAGAATACCCTGCCCCCCAGCACAGAATATTTACTGATTTAATAGCCATTTGCCATTTTGCTTGGGGTTCAGTAAGTAGAGTAGGTAGAGTTGTTAATATTAAGGTAGTTTTCCTGATGGGGCATCAGAAGGGAGTGGGATCTTAGAGATCAGCTTTGAACATGAGAACAATCATTTGAGACATGGTGGTTTGAAAAAGTTACTACTATTGTTATTACTTATAAAGGCTCCAACTCTTGATCTGTGGACTCATGCTGTCAGGTGGGTGTTGTGCCTCTGGGGGTATGTGTGTGTCTGTGTTGGGTGAGCACAGCTTTTCTGTAGAAAGAAGGACTTCTCCTACAAATGGAGCAGTGGAGGTTTCCAGGATTACCTCAAGGTGTTTACAGAGTAGGATTTGGGAGTGAGGTTTGATAATAGCTGCAGCCTCATTTTAGCATGAACTATTGCAACCTCATCTGCCTGATGAACTGCGCTGTATGGTTGCTTAGACAAATTTCTCTTTCCTCCCTCCCCATCCATTCCCATTCCCAGCTCTTTTCCCACTGTGGTCTTCAAACTTTTCCTTGGCTGCAGGATTTTAAGTATATTTACACTTAATTTTTCTTGATCTGCTTTGAGTACAGCAGAGCTTGTTACAGAACAGTTCAAGACAAGTGAATGCAAACATTCTATTTGGTTTCAGAGAAAACTATCTTTTTGTTTGTTTGGACTTGATTTACCTTTGTGATTACACATTATCTAAAATTTATCTTTCTTGAGCAGACTGTGCTAGGTGATGGGGAAACAGTGGGACAGTCCAGTATTAACCTCTGCCTCAGATTACCCTAGGGAGCAGCAGGTGTTTGAGAGTGACTTGGGTTAGATGCTTAGTTCTTTTTCTCTAATGAAGATGCATGCTCAGGGGAGGCTGTGACAGTGTTGGGGCTTTGACAGTTCCCACCCACATTGACTTGAGCACACAGTAGGCCCTCAGTAAATTGTGTGGGCATTTCTTCACTTCTGCAAGGCTACCCTCCACCCTCCAACAGACCAGGTGCTCAGCATGATCTGCCTTATGCAGTTTATTTTTCTCCAGCCCCTCTTATGTGTGGACTCTGTCCTTGACTCCAGTGGCAGTATTTGGTTTCTTAATCGGTTGGTTTTACTCAAGAGACAAATAAGACACAAAAGGTGGTGGGGCTAGAGAGATGGCTCAGCAGTTAAGAACACTGATTGTTCTTGCAGAAGACCCAAGTTTGAATCCCAGCACCCACATGGCAGCTAACAACTGTCTGTAACTCCAGTCCCAGGGGATCCGACAGCCTCTTCTGACCCCTACCGGCATTGCACAACACGGGTAAACTTACCTACATGCAGGCAATACACCCATACAGGTAAAATAAAAATAATAATAATTTAAAAAAAAGAGAGACACAAGGTGGTGGTGCTTGGTGCATCGTTATTTCCTTTCTGCCTCTACCGCTTACCTTTCCCTGCAGGTCTGTTACCCTCCTCCTCTGTCCTTTCCCTCTCCCTACCTGACCCTTTCCTTTCTTTTACTTCCCTCTTTTACCCCTCCTCCTCCAGTTCCCCTGTTATTCTCTGTCCATCTCTCCTTTCCTTGGCCCCATAGCTCATTCTGCCTTTCTTTTACTTCTGTTCTTGGCCTCTGAGCCTCTTCAGTTGTCTCTTCATCCCCTCACTGGGGTACAGTAGGAGCGTCATGATTTTTTTTTTTTTTTTTGCCTCCTTTGCCTGTTAGAAGTCCCTGTGCTACACCCATACCATAAATAACACTCGAGCATCTGCCAAACACATTCCTCACTTGTGTTAATAGGCTGCAATGATGCTGGAGCCTGTTGCCATGGCAACCTCATTTTTGTTTGACTGTATCCCACTCTGCTACATAAAGTCTCTGTGTGCACTCACACATAAACAAGCATGCTCCCACAACTATTACCCATGCTTGGCTGTCAAAGAATATTTTATATTTTAGAGACAATGTCCTTGGGTTCTGTGGGAGTGAGATGGTCATTTGAGCTCAAGAAGATGGTTGCCTTGTCTGCCTTAGAGATACCCTAGGAGGTGATAATGGATGGAAGAGCTCTTTGAGAAGTAGAGAGCCTTGTTCAAATGTAGGGTTTTATTATGCAGCCACATTAAGCCTGCCTGACCTGGCTTCTAGGGAGAAAATTCTGACCCTGAGTGGGTCTCTAAGAGCTTAGAGTGTGGTTCCCATCCTCTCTCTGCTCTATCCTCCTTCAACTCCATAATCCTCTCCTCCAGTCCCTTTGGGAAAAGCTTAGAGATTTCCTGCATGCCTTCTTTTGTGCCTGTTTGAACCCACAACTGTCACCAGTTGTTCCAGCTATCAGAATGGCACAGGCACTGTGTGGGTGATGTTCTGTGACTGAGCACGTGTGACTGTCTGCCTCAAAGAGGCAAGGGATGGGTGGGGATGTGAATCAGGAATTGAGCCCGTGGCTGCCCAGGGACATGCACGTGTGTGTACGTGCACTTACTTACCTGTGCTTGTCGGTCCACCGGGCAGGCTGGCTGGCTCTGGTGTTGGGGGCTGGGGAAACCTTTTAGAGGAGATCGTGTGGTTCTGCCCTGTTTGTTTTAGAGTAGTTGCTGTCTTCTTATGGACCTCTTACCTTTCTGATTATTCATCCTACCCTGACCTGGGCTCCTCTTCATTGAGACTAAGAACTGGGCTCGAGATGTCAGCTCTCCTGCCCCATGGACACCACCCATCTCTTTCCTGCACCCCACCTGCTCCACAGCCCTGTAATGCCTGCAGAGACATTGCCTCCTCCCTCTGGAACATGACTCAGAAGCTTTCTAATGGGTCACTGTGGCTTCTCCAAGTACAGTGCTGGGTGGTGTGGAGAAGGACACAGCATTGTCTACCACCAATTATTTTCTTATCACCTCTATTTCTATTCAGGAGTTATCTGGCCACAAGTGAATCCCACAAGCACAACAGGCTGGGGTGGGGGACTGACTTTAAATTTAGTGTAGAGGAGGGTTTGTTTATCTTCCCTAGAGGCTAATTGTGTTTGCCAGTTATGATTCCTAATTGTTTTACATTCTATTGCTTCCTTCTCTGGGCAGCTAGGACAGGTGCTTGGAGGGTAGCAAAAGTAGCGCCTGGCAGGGGTTTGAGCAGGGTTGCTGGATAGAGAATCATCTGCTAGGTCCCAGGGGAACTGTGATTTGAGGAGGAAGGACTCCAAAAACTGTGACAACTTAGCTCAGGAGCAGAATGTCCAGTTGCTGTGTTTGCAGGAGTGTGCACCGTTAATAATTCAGTTGAGTTGATCTGTAAGTCAGAACATTGGTTCTGTGCGCTGAGGAACAGTGTACACACTCATGTTTGGATACAGGTTCTCCTGTGTAGATAGTCTCTGGCCATGAGTGTATTAAAGGGGGCAGTTGGCAGCACAACAGGGCTATTGCCCAGGCGTGGGCCAGGCCATCTCCTCTTCTGAGCCTTGTGAATGGGACTGCCATGGTGATCCCAACCAAATGTGGAAGCAGGAGTGAGGCCATGAGCCCCAGGAAGGGGCTATGACTTGGCTATGCCAGCTCCTTGCTGGGCGACTTTTGGTCCACAATGCCTGTGTGGTAGCTCACATAATTTTATTCATCT